ATATACACGGTATTTTCTATTTTGTGTTTTTACCAATTTTCAACCTATTATGTGTAAATAATTTAATTAAATCAACCTGTCCATAATATCATATTTAATGTATTGGACGTTAAATCTTTAATAAAAACAACACACATTAACGCCCACTTGACACAAAGTAGATCATTTTGAGACTAATATATGGTTCATTTTTAATTTAAAGTATGCGCTTGTGCGTAAGGGTCTTTAGCAGAGGGAGGAAACTGGAGGACTCGGAGAAAACCCACAAGGTTGAACAAGTGACCCTAATCCTTGGAACAAATTCACGCCACTTGACTCGGTGACAGACCTTATGATTTCATGTGTACATGGTAAACCATTCGCCCCCCCCCCCTTCATATTAAATAGATATCTATGTAAATTATGTTATACGGTGTATTAAGTATAAATGTCTACAGTGTATTTAAATTTATGTATTAAATAAAAGTACCGTATATGTAAATATTATCTATTACGAAATGAGGGTATATATATTATGCTATATTTATATATTTTGACTATTATGACTAAATACTCTAGCCGTTTTGGTTTAGGGCCTTTATGTCCATTATCCCTACTACTAGACCTAGTACTTCTCATTCACCACCCTACTCCTTCATTGATCTTACCAAAGAAATCACATCATGACGCAGTACTTGTTACTACTTCATCAGGGTTAAGGAAGTCAGTTTTATCAGAGATCTGTTAATTTGCAAGAAAAAATCCAAGCATGTTTGAGATGGGGCCACACAAAAGAGGGACAATTTAGTCCAGTGCGAAACAAAAACGGCATTTGTATTATTTTATTTAAAGCACCAATAACACTTATTCTAATTGCTAAATGTGTTATTGTCTTACTTTTAGTGTAAATCCTCCATTAAATCCTTTTTTTTTTTATCCTGGGTGATCAAAAATATTTTTCAAATCAAAGTCACATTTGGAAAAGCCTAACTTAGACTTATGCAATCTACTGGAGTCAGTGTTTGTCCAGGGAGGTAATTAGTGTTGGATTTGATCGACTACATGTACAGTACCTGTTTCTAACATCTTCCCTTGCCGAGAGATAAACAATTTTGTCAGGATCACTTTTTAAGATTTTTCGCATTTTAGTTTTAGTTTATGGGTTCTAGGTTAATTATTTATTGCCTGATTTGTATAAAAGAAAAGCTCATGCATATGCTTTGAGCTGTGAATTCTCAACTTTTTCTACCAGTAAAGCTTTCTGTCGGCACTGGAAGTGATGTAATATTGCCGCAAACATGAATTTGACGAGTCGAAAGGTCTTTTCAAAAGCAAATATTAATTTTTACAAATCTAATAAATCAAGACGAATGCTCCCACTAAAGGCGAAAAATATGTCGAGCTCATTTCTTTTTTAATTCCGGTTTTGTATTTGACCATTTTGCATCCATGATCATATTAAGACAGCAGGCCAGACATGTTTTAAGTATGTTGTTATGTAAAAGTGGCCTGGTTGTTATACTTGTAATCTTCCTTGATATGAATGCATTTTTCCAGTGAAATCGACCGGCGTTATATCCTTAGTGATCGAGTGTCGAAAAAACCTGACTAACTGCCACAGTTTGTGTTAATGTGGTCAAAATATCTTTTGGTGCTCTCTTAAACCATTTCTCTACACTAATGGAACGTTTATTTGGCTCACTGATTTCTGTTCGGTGCACGGTGGCTTTGTTAACAAATGCTATGACCTGGCACTAGACCCCAGAACTTTTGACCGCAACCGCTGTTGTTGTTCTTAGTGTTTAACGTCCGCTTCCATCGAAGGTGATATTTTTTTTATTATCTTAGCGTACGCACAGGGGTCTTCCCTGTGGGAGGACACCGGAGTACCCCCACGAGGTTAAGAAGGCGCCCCTATCTCCAAGCCACATACGCTCACACCAGGGATTGAAACCACAGCCGCAAGCTAGAGGTGACCGGCCAGCTAGAGGTCGAAGTGCAGCACTCTAGGCCACTAGGCACCCGCTGACACAGGAACAAGCATAAATCTATGAACTAAAAGACATCTACTCGATCTATCTAGACTGATTCAGATTGAGACTGATGCAAACGTTACGCATGCAATTAGCCCCAAGTCATATTTTCATTTTTATTATCTTAGAGCACGCGCAGGGGTCTTTCCCGTGGGGGGAAACCGGCCGAGTATCCAAAAAACCCGAAATTTTCGACAGACGGGGACAATAATTATGTACCCTAGCTAACACAGGACTTAGGTCAGACAAAGCCTATTCATTATAATCCAAAGAATTGCCGATTGTGCTTCCGACAGCAAGAACATATACTATTCAAAAAAAGTAGGGGATATTTGATTTTTAAGTGTTATTAAAGTCACCTAATGAAACTGACGAAGAAACAAATGACAAAATGAAATGAAGTTCACATTCATCGATTTATTCCAAATGATCGTTAGACTAAGTAAGGCACAGACTGACCATTATAAGGGTAAAATGATACCCGGGGTCAAACAGCAAAGTTACCACAGCATCACAACCAAGCCAGTAACGGGTAAATCCTCCTCTGTTTGCCAAACAAGCATTGATCCGACGTGGCATACTCCTAATGAGACGTCTAAGGTCATTTTGGTCCAGATTGTCCCATTCCTGTTGCAACGCAGCAGCAAGTTCTTGGACATTGGCAGGACGTTGTTGACGTTGACGTTGACGTAACCGCTGTCCAAGCATGTCCCAGACATGCTCGATGGGGGAGAGGTCGGAACTCTGTGCTGGCCAAGGTAATGTGGTGATGTTCTGTTGTTGGAGGTAACCTGTAACGATCCTGGCCCTGTGACATCTTGCGTTGTCATCCTGGAAGATGAAACGGCGGCCATGACGTCGTGCGAACGGCACGACATGGACTGCCAAGATGTTGTCCCGGTAGTACTGGCCTGTAACACGCCCTGCAACAACATGTAAAGCCGTTCTTCCAGCAACAGTGATGCCTCCCCACACCATAACAGAACCACCCCCAAATCGATCATGTCTGATGACGTTAACGTCTTGGAAGCCCTCGTTTTGACGACGCCACACCCTCCTACGTCTGTCCAAAAAATCAACAGTGAACCTTGACTCATCTGAAAACATCACATTGCTCCAGCGTCGATTATCCCAGTGTTGACGATCCCTACACCAACGACGTCTTGCCTGAATGTGATGATCTCTCAAACAAGGGATCACGCGAGGTAGTCGGGCGCGAAGGTGACCCCTATGCAGTCGATTCCGAATCGTCTGGCCACTCACTCTCACACCAATGTCTGTTTGAAGACGAGCGCTGATCTGATTTGCTGTGATGACACGATTTCTCAAGGCCAAGGTACGGATAAATCGATCCTGGGCTTGAGTTGTCGCCCTTGGTCGACCTGAGCGTGGTCTGTCCTGTACAGATTGTGTATCACGGTATCTGGACCATAGCCTGCTTATGACAGACTGAGAAACATTCATCGTCCGCGCCACAACCGCCTGTGTTGTGCCGATCTGTAGCATGCCAAGGGCACGTAACCTTTCATTTTGGGTAAGCCGACGCATATCAAAATTTGTTTTCTGGTCACTAAAACAATTAAACTGATGTTTCCACCCTGGAATTCAATGCCACAATGACTGTAACATTCAAAGTCAGAGTCGTGCAAATCTTGGGTTGGACCCCCATGATGATCCCAAGCATCACCTGCATTCCATGCGGTAGCTATTGGTGCGTTTGGGCGTCACATGTAACTGGAAATGTTTCTTCTGTTAGGTTCTATAGTGACTTTTTTCGTAGTCATTTGCATATTTCAGTATTATGCCCCAAAAATCAAATATCCCCTACTTTTTTTGAATAGTATACAAAGAATGTACATGTACATACATGATAAGGGAGAGAGAGAGAGAAATGGGGTTTAACGTCCACTCGACACAAACTAGGTCATTTCGGGACTAACATATGGTTTTAATTTTATTTACATAATTCGCTTGCGCGTAGGGGTCTTTAGTAGTGGGAGGAAACCGGAGGACCCGGAAAAACCCACGAGGTTAGACATGCGACCCTACTCCTTGCCACGTACAACCGGGGATTCGAAACCACGCCAGTCGACTCAATGACAGACTTTATGATATAGCGCGCGCACAGTAACCATTCAGCCATCCAACACCCCTGACATGATAAGGGACCTTTAGTGATCTTCATACTGCCGATTAACGAATCATATTGATTGCAAAGGCAAATAGATTTGGCCTTTCCTTCTGTCGTAGATGAAATGATCTCTGACAGATCCCGAGTTTGGATATTTGTGGATGGCGGATGTTTTCGTTTGATTTTCATGAGTCCCATGCAAGCGGACTGGTCTCTCCCATTGAACAATTCGGTGAAGATATTTTTCGGCTTAGAATCGGGACTGCTGCAAATATTGGTTGACGACGACGAATACGATAATTTCGCATTGTATAAAGGATTGGTCAAACTTGGCATCAGAAGGAGTCGGTGCTATTTTGTTGTCAAATGTATCCGACAAATTAAATTCAATTTTACCAGCTATTTAGATTGGCACATCTCCGAGTAGCCTACAGCTATGGGTGCCATGGTCAGACAAAGCTTTCTTTTAAGACTTTGGCGTGACTTGCTCATATGGCGTTGTCTGCGGCCAAATCATTGTTTTTCGCCATGAACAACTCATGAGATGCCGTATAGTATTCGTGGTTACAACCACTAAACGCTAGAGTGCTCGCAAGATAGAAAGTGCAGGCAAGTTATAAGGAATTCAATATGCAGCTGCTTCACCTCACTGATGTTAAAGGCATCATCATTGCGTCAATGTAACACATTCCTACAGTTAATTTAAGACACATAATACATATCCTTGCATAGCCGGAGAAATATTACCGGTATCCGTCACGGTGTGTGGGCAGACCGCGGAAAGCAATATTCAATCATATATCAATGTGGGCGTATAGAAACCACACTATTTGAATAGACACAACACAACACAAAACTAAACCTCTTCTTTTTATTATTAATTTTTCCACAAGTTTGTTAGCCCATTAGTTTCATACCCACAACTTTATAAAACAAAAAGGCTTATTTAATATATTATTCCCCCCATGGTGTTTACAAAAAATAAATAATCAACAATAAAAAACTCAATAATAATATAAACATACTAAAATTTCTTATCACATTTCTAAGAATAAATATATCCCAGTGCTTAGCACACACAATAACCAACAGAAACAGCCGCGGAATAAATATAAACTTATCTATATACAGTCACGATCTAGACGCCTTTCTAATTGCAAGAAGATTAAGAAATAGAATAGCTTGCCATGCCAGGTGACGTATGCCCACCAACACTTTAATCAGCACGCATAAGGTTTCGGTATCAAGATCCAACCTTATTTATCATTGAAAAAATCTCTCCTGTACAGTTATCAACTATTCCTGATTGATAATTTAGTGAAAGTATATCAGCAGTACATAGTAACTAAATACTTTCAGCAATTTAGGTATATCAACCATTGGGAAATAACTATATGACTACTTTTGTGAGGGAATATTTCCAGGAAATTATTCTAGCTATTAATTTCCGAAATGTACCAATACTACACTCATATATGATAGATTCTTGCGTGTGACTAGCCCAACAAGTTTAAATTTTTAAAATTCCGAACTGTAGAACTTTTAATAGTTTTAGAAGGTTATGTCCCACTTTTGAATTTCGATATGTTTTCTCATAATTATAGTTGAACTAGCCTACCAAGTTTTGACAAAGTCGGGTGTTTATAAACCGCACGTCTTTTACAAGGCACAGCATAAAATAGAATTGCTACTCTGAATCTTATAACTTGCTGAAAAATCCTGGGCGTCAATTTCATTGCCAATGATATAATGGTGCATAAAACTAATAAAAAGATAGGTTGCCAGGCAACGAAACATACGTCCACAGCAGCTAAATCGCCCGGGCAGTCAACAAGTGTTGTTGCATATTTTTTACTTTTTTTTGGTAATGAAACATTTATAATACACTTAAATCTGATTAAGAGTAACTACTCATGAAGTTATTATCAATCTGAAGTCAATCGGATGATAACTTTAGCCTCTAGGGTGTCACAAGTTTTTTTAAAGTGATCAAGGGCCATAAGTTTGGCAGTAATTATAGGAAATCGTTGAAAATCAACAGGCTTCTTTGTCTTATGACCTTAAACATTGTGTATAAATTTAAAGTCAATCGGATATTAACTTTAGCCTCTAGAGCGTCCACAAGATTTTTCAAAGTGATAAGGGCCATAACTTTGGCAGTAATTATCGGAAATCGCTGAAAATCAATATGATTCTTTGTCTCATGACCTTAAACACTGTGTACAAATTTAAAGTTAATTGGAAATTAACTTTGACCTCTAGAGCATCCACAAGATTTTTTGAGGTGATCAAGGGCCATAACTCTGGCAGTAATTATCGGAAATGGCTGAAAATCAATAGGCTTCTTCCTCTCATGACCTTAAACACTATGTATAAATTTAAAGTCAATCGGATATTAACTTTAGCCTCTAGAGCCTTGTGGACGCCGGACTGCCGGGGGCGACGACAATATACGACCACATTTCAATGTGGGCGTATAAAAACAGTCTCAAAATTGGAGGTGTATTTCATATGTTGCTAACAACTAATGTAAAGTATCACGGACACATGTAATACGACAATATGGGGGTGTATAAAAATAATAATAAAATATGTTTAATTAATATTAATTATCTGATTTTCATAAAATTTACCCCACAGTTGATCTAAATGCATAATCCTCACCAGTCCCTGCTTAATTCAAACTTGATAAGAATTGTGCCATATTATGCGTAGTTTTTTTGTTCCGTTTTATAAATGTCCCATTGGCAAATAGGGTAAAATATCTCGGCTGTTTTAAAGCTGTACTTCTTACTTAATAATATATGCTGAAAGGTTTCATGTGACTGTATATTTCATTTACAGAGAAATAAAATACCATTGATGACAAATTGACAGTTTAAGCAGTGAAATACAAATAGCTTTAATGTTTGCATAGCTATATTAAATACAAAACTATAACAAAATATCTTCTACCAATAGTGAAAAATCACCCTTGTCTTGTACTTTTTAACAAAAAAATGTTTTCTTACACCAAAACATCTAAGATAAGGCTGGATTGCAAGGTTAGACAATTAGGAAACCTATAAGATCCTAAGGAATATACAGTGTATCAATGGTTTAATGAAGGATTTCTTCTCAAGACATAAAAGTATATAATTAAAAGAATTAACATCTAATCAGTATTGAAAGGTTAATATTATGTATACTTGGTATATATATAACTAAATGAATGAATAACTAAATACTTTATTGATTGGATGAAGAAGAATCTGTATAATCATTATTCCATAGTTCTAATCTCTAGAAGCAAGGTGGAATTGAAGACCTACATTATGACAGATGGGGGTCTAATGATGGAGTAACAAGCTAGGTCACCTATAGCCTACAGTTGTCTGACACTTTCAAAAGTTAAAAATATTTGTTATAGTTATACAGGTCTGAAACAAAATATTTGTTATAGTTATACAGTTCTGAAACAGTACAAGAGGAATATTGAGTGGTGGATGAAATTTGTTACTCAATTACACCTTCTCACAATTAAGATTCTTATCTTGTCTAAATCGAAATTTACCCCCATCCCAATACTCCTACGTCTCAGAGTAAATTTGGACCAATACACTTTAGAAATGCTTCAGATGTTGTAAACCTTATTTTTGTTTTTCATTCTAATCTCTTGTTTCTCCAAAATTAATGAACCAGCGGTTGCCAGGCCAGACACGCCCACATTTTGCAAGAGATGGATAGAGAACAAGCTAAAAACAAAAGGGATTTTTCGTACAATCAGGGGCCATAATCCAGAAAGTTATGGTCTGAAATGCACAAATATTGAAAGGGACTGAGATCTTTGTAATATAAAGATATATTTTTCGTTTCATCAAAATGGATTAAAAATTGTGACCTCTAAGAGGGTCCACAACCTTTGTATTACATACTTTTAAACAATTTGCATACAAAGAGCGGCCATTTTGTCGGGAAGTCTCGTTTTGATTTTCCCGACATTCAAATTTAACCTTCATTATGGTGGAATGGTGATATATTTAACAGTTTTTAAAATTGGATAAAAAAATTGTGACCTCTAGAGAATCCACAAACTAAAAAACTTGATTTTTCGTACAATCAGGGGTCTTAATCCAGGAAGTTACGGTCCGATATGTGCAAATAGTGAAAGGAACCAAGATCTTCGGGACATAAACATATATTTTAAGTTCCATGCGCAATTATCAAAAGGAACCAAGATCTTTGTGATATAAACATAAATTTAAAGTTTCATCAAAATCGGATAAAAATTGTGACCTCTAGAATGTCCACAACCTTGATATACTATATTTTTATATTATTTTCGAACTCAACCATCATCAGGGTTTAACGGTGATATATTCACACGTTTTTTGTTTTTTTAAAATCGGATAAAAATTGTGATTTCTAGAGGGTCCACAAGCTAAAAACGCAATTTGTCTTACAATCAAGGGCCATAATTCAGGAAGTTACAATCTGATATGTGCAATATCGAAAGGAACCAAGATCTTTGGGTTATAAACATGTATTTCAAGTTTCATCAAAATCGGATCAAAATTATGGCCATTTTGTCTGGCAGTTTTGGTTCGGAGAATAATTGTGACCTCTAGAGGGACCACAAGCTAAAAACAAGATTTTTCGCAGGAACCAAGATCTTTGGGTTATAAACATGTATGCATTTCAAGTTTCATCAAAATCAGTCGAAAATTCTGACTCTAGAATGTCCACAATCAGGGACCATAATCCATGAATTTATGGATCGATACATGCCAATATCGAAAGGAACCAAGATCTTTAGGAGATAGACCTATATTTCAAGTTTCGTCAAAATCGGATAAAAATTGTGACCTGTATACTGTTCACAAAACGGACGGACAGGGGCGATGGCATAATACATCCACATGAAAATGTGGGCTTATAAAAACTATGATGTTTTAGACACATGACAATGAACAATTTTTTCTTATTTTATTTGTGAAGTTCCCCAATAATATTGACCCATGACAGTGGCTTGTTTATTATACATATTATTATAATGATTAATGTAGTGCAATATTTTACAGGAATGTTCCGAATTTCATCCAATAAATGACAATTTTAGAATATCTTACATCTTCAGTATTTATTGTTGAACTGGTACTTTGCCCTGTATTTCAGATATCCTAAAAAAAAATATTTGATATTTGTTTAATTATAAGGTGTCAATCAAGGGCAATAATTTAGACAAATGACCCATAAGGGGTCATCTTTATTTATGGCAATGATTTATAAAAACAATTCCAGTAGTTTGACAAATTCTCTAAAACTAAAGTCTGCAGGGTTTTGAAGACAAGAGCAGGAACCAAGTGCAGCTATTACTTTTAATCTAGTCAAATTGGTCCAGCAAGCGATTACAAGGCTTTGATGCTGGGGGAATAGCACAGCAGATATAGATGCAAAAGTCATGTCTATGAGTTATTGAATAAGCCCAGCAAGTTTGGAGAAAATCAGAAAATTGGTAGAGTGTTTACAAGAAGACGAATAGACTGACAAAATGTCAGGGGCAATAACTCTGGAACTACTTTTAACCAGCGGCTGCCAGGCAGGATATGCCCACATTTTGCAAGAGATGGATAGAGAACAACCTAAACAAAAAGCGATTTTTCGTAAAATCAAGGGTCATAATTCAGGAAGTTACGATCCGATATGCAATAATACTGAAAGGAACCAAGATCTTTGGGTTATAAAGATATATTTCAAGTTTCATCAAAATTGGATCAACATTGCCATATATTTACACTATTTGCGTACAAGGGGCTCCCTTTTGTCTGGCAGTTTTGGGCAGATTTTCACGAAATTCTAACTCAGCCGTCATTAGAGTCCTACGGTGAAATATTCATAAGTTTTTTTAAATCGGATAAAAATTGTTACCTCTAGAGTGACTACAAGCTAAAAACGTGATTTTCTGTACAATCAAGGGCCATAATTCAGGAAGTTACGATTCGATATGCGCAAATTTAGAAAGTTTCATCAAAATCAGATGAAAATTGTGACTTTTTGAGTGTTCACAAGCTAAAAATGTGATTTTGCGTACAATCAGGGGGCCATGATCCATGAAGTTATCGTCTGATATGTGCCAATATCGAAAGGAACCCAGATCCTTGGGAGATAGACCTATATTTTACGTTCGTCGAAATCGGATAAAAATTGTGACCTGTAGAGTGTCCACAAACAAATTGTGGACAGACGGACGTCCGAACTGACAAACAGGGGCGACGGCATAATACGTCCACATGAAAATGTGGGCGTATAAAAATTGGTTGAGAACTGTAGTCTTTAGTACGAGTATGGTTACAATATAATATACTAATCCAGTTTCTCTTACTACCATCTTCATGAAACACTGCAATCTTTCAAGAAAACTCTGATTTTACATTTAAACTTTTAAATGATTGTTCTATTGTTAACATAATGGAGTGACAGATACATAGAGAATCTCCTACCAGTCTTTTTTGATATCAAAAAAGACGAGTAGGAGATTTTATTTATCACCCAATCCCTTCTTACATGCACAAATAGATAAATATAATTCTTTGCTGTAGATTTCACTTTTACTGAACATTACGGCATAGTGATACATCATTTTTTGACAGCAATTCAACCATTGCAAAGTCCTTTATATTGACCCAGTGTTTCCATCAAGGTCAATTGAATAACAATAGTTTATTTTTAATTAAAAAAAGTTATTTTTAATAAGAAATGAACTGTTCTTTGAAAATAAAAAAAAGTAGTTCCTTTTCAACTGACCTATCAAATTCATGTAAAGCGATATCTCCTTAGATATCGCAGTGATTATGAAAAATATCACACAAGCGATATCTACTGTAGAATGTATTATTGGGTGATAAAAACTATTAGTCCAGTAACTTACACAGGTTCTTTCTCTTCCACAGTTTCATCTTCTTCTATCCCAGTTTTATCTTCAACACTTGATACTGTTTGCTTTTCTAACTTGTTGCTTGTGGTAGTTTGGTTTATAATACCAGCTTTAACTTCACCAGCAGATTTACTATGTTCTGTAGTAGATGTGTTAGATTCTGATGGACTTGGTTGTATTTGCATATGATATCTATATATTGTTTCTGTGCTTTCAATAGTTCCTGTAAAATACACAATGTTGAGGTTTTACTAACTAGATCATTTGGGGAATTCTTAATACATGGTATATTTTATTCAAACCAGCGGCTGCCAGGCAGGATACGCCCACATTTTGCAAGAGATGGATAGAGAACAAGCTAAAAATAAACAGGATTTTTTGTACAATCAAGGGCAATAATCCAGAAAGTTACGGTCTGAAATGTGCAAATATCATAAGGGACTGAGATCTTTGGGATATAAAGGTATGTTTTAAGTTTCATCAAAATCGGATAAAAATTGTGACCTCTAGAGGGTCTACAACCTTTGTAGCATACTTTTACACAATTTGATTTTCTTGAAATTCGAATTCAACCTTCATTATGGTGGAATGGTGATATATTTAAACGGTTTTTAAAATTGAAAAAGAATTGTGACCTCTAGAGAATATGGATGTTAAAAATGCGATTTTTCGAACAATCAGGAGATATAATTCAGAAAGTTACGGTCCGATAGGCGCGAATATTGAAAGGAACCGAGGTCTTTGGGTTATAAACTTACATTTCACGTTTCATCAAAATCAGAAGAAAATTGTGACCTCTAGAGGGTCCACAACATTGATATACCATATTTTTACACTATTTGATTACGAGGGGTGTCCATTTTGTCTGTCAGGTTTGGTCCAATTTTTAAGAAATTCGAACTCAACCATCCTTAGGGTGTAACAGTGATATATTCAAACGTTCGTTTAAATCGCACAACAATCATGACCGCTATATGGTCCACAAACTCAAAACGCGATTTTTCGTACAATCAGGAGCCATAATTCAGCAAGTTACTATCCGATATGCGCGAGTATCGAAAGGAACCAAGATCTTTGGGTTATAAACTTACATTTCAAGTTTCATCAAAATCAGAAGAAAATTGTGACCTCTATAGGGTCCACAAGATAAAAACATGATTTTTCGTACAATCATGGGCCATAATCCATGAAGTTTCGATCCGATACATGCCAATATCGAAAGCAACCAAGATCTTTTGAAGATAAACCTACATTTCAAGTTTCGTCAAAATCGGATAAGAATTGTGACCTGTAGAGTGTCCACAAACAATTGTGAACGGACGGACAGACAGGGGCGACGACAATATACGTCCACATGAAAATGTGGGCGTAAAAAAAACAGAGCACACCTGGCTAAATATATATGAAAAATATTTGAAGTTTGCAAAATAAGAATTATCTAGTTTATGATTAACGACGTGGAGTATAAAATTCAGTGAAATTGAGAATAAATTGTGCAAGATAGCCTTAGATAGGCCTGTAACTACAGCTAGTGTAACTGGACAAAATTTCAATAACAACGGTTTGAAGCAGAAAAGTCTTATACTTTATTTATATGGATCAATATATTAATTAAACAAGTTAAGAATATTTGTATGTGTGTAAATTGTTTGTTCTTGGATAATTAATTATATAAAGAGTGACAGGTTAATTACTGAAGTGATAACATTTCATGGTCTGAATGTCTGCAACTTTAAAACTACATGTAAACCTTCATTTGTCAGTATATTTATATGCTGCCAAACTTTTTTTCTTTTCAAATATGTAGAGATTAGTAGAACAGAAGATGTATTAACAAGGGGTTCAGTCAGGGCACACTATGTAAAATATTTAATGTCTGTATTTTTTGAAGCCATAAATACTTAAATCACTGTTCATTTCATCAATGGTAACCTTTACACAGGTGATTAAACTGTCTGTGTATAATTAAAAGGTGTTACACAAGTTTAGCCAGGACTGTTTGATCTGTTTGTGTATATTAATCTGTTTATAATCTCATTGATGTTAACACCCTCCTGTGTACTTTTGTGTAATTACTTATCAGTTGACTCAATTTAATTGATTTATGCATAAATTACGATTAGTTCATTTATTTTAGTAGCTGTGTTTAATTTAAGTACTTTAAACCTTTCTTAGTTCTTGTTTGTCTGTGATATCACCTCGGTGGAAGCGGACGTAAAATACAACTAACTAACAACAACAACTTAGTTCTTGTTAAAAAACAAAGTGTGATATATGGAAAGGAAGCCAATTTCATGCTTGATATGCACAACTGAATAAAAGAACATAGACTCTGGAACTTAAGGGGTGGGGTTGAGAGTTAATTAATATCTTTGCATTACATGTAGAAGTAAACTTAATTAACTGCATTCAATTTTCAAAGACTTGACCCAAGTAATTCCAGTAGACAAATTAAATATTACATGTACAATCCATAAAATTACTGGGTTTCAAATAATCTTTCAATCAAATTGCAATTGGCTGATTAAATGTACATGAGTGACACTAATATCAAATTCATGCCAATAAGTTTGTATAGTGATTAAAATGATGAAATGCAATAAAAAGTGCACATAAGATGGACAAGGAAAATTTCCGGTACATGTAGCCAATGGTTACTATATCCACTTTACGGCAAGTTCACACCAATCTGATTGAAATTAATTCAGCTATCTTCACTCAAAGTCGCAAAAATAGACCTCCCGTAAAAACGACTTTGCCAATTATCGAAAACACTCTTAATCCCCTCAGACGCCAGTAATATTCCTTTATTACCTATATACAGCCGGCATGTGTATTCATTAACACCTGACTGATTCCTTAATCCCCTAATTAAATAAAACAATTGACTACGGAATAATTTATTTTGCTTTATTATGTCCCCCCTCTCTTCTCACGACAACGATTTTAATACTGTGTTTAGACAAGCTAAAACTGTGTTTTAAAGTGACTTTTTGATATAGTCCCTCTACCATCATGTACAGTCCTAACAATTCGAGATACATTTTCGTCGGAAAAGTATTGTGGTTGTAATTTCCCCCGAGTAAAAGAGTACAGGAGTAAAAAGATGTGGTCATGCAAAATGTATCGTAGAAGTCAAACATGATTGAAACATGATTTGTAAATGACGATCCGTTATTAGAGTAGCCAACTGTATCTCGTTTTCCTGTAGCCATCGTACGGCGCCTTTCTTTCTGCATGCAGATTTGACTTCATTACTCTGAAATAGACTGTGAAAATGAAATACGAAAAAATATCTCAATATACTTTAGAATTAACAGTACAAATAAATTTTGTTGGTAACCATCTAAATGGAATAACAGATTGAGAAGGGTCATCTAACTATATTTGTGTATTAATAATAATATGGCAAGTGTAGTGTCGTTAATATGTCATTAATTAATCAATCCGTTTAAAGTTGCTTAGGTAAGGTAATTGTCATTTTTTACGCAGGCCAGATCAAAGACATCACTATAGGTGCGTAATACCTGACGAATGAACTGATCGTAGAATCGTACACACGTTAATTGTATAAAATAATTACGTTTTACTCATCAGTTGTTTATATTTAATATTTACGCAATACTCAATTAGCTTTACTCATCGATGTTTTTGTAATAAAGTAGCCTCGTATTATTTGTTGATTGGTGTTAAACAACATTTAATTGACTTGATATGAAATCTGAATATAAATCATTCGATGGATAAACGTTTGTGATAAGATTAGGTTACGTCTAACATTGTTTAACTTTTTTATAATAACGGTATTTTAGAATTACATTGACAGTTTAATCACTCACCAACTGGCATCAGGAACTACACGTATGATCAAGTGTATTTGATATTCATGTCCATGAATCCCATGCAATTTTTGCGCCAAAGTTTAACCTCAGTTACTACGTCCAGTAGTATGCATGGAACCATACATAGTAACCTAGCATTGATTGGCTGAGAAATGAGGGCGATCTTTATGTTATGCATAGTCATCGGGAAATTCCATATTTGCTTTGAATTTCAAATGGAGTTATGATAAAAGTTGTTCTTTGTAAATAGAAATGGTTATTATTAATATTATTATTAAATAGCTTATAATGAATATATCGACAAATGACTGGCCCCATTTGTATTTCTGTACTTATAGAGAATAGTTTGGGATATCAAGTATAATGGGGTTATCTAAATTACCGGTAAATGCGCGAATTGCTTGGGTCGTCTTGATTTGTCACATGGCCTATTTAAACAAAGGACGCTTAAATGGATCTACGGCTTGATACAGCATGTCAGCATTTTAAATTCACTCTAAAATATTCAAATCATAAATGTCTAATCTATAACAATGTAAGACAATAATTTGGTGATTATGATAAGGCCTGTCACGTGGTATTTGGACCGTCAATAGACACTTGTACAGACAGTGATATATTGTATAGATAATGTATATACTATGTGTAGTGCCTGTGACGTCACCAGCCAATCAACATGATTAAGGTCGTAATTGAAAAATTGAAAAGCATTTTGGCGTGTCGGCAAGCCTGGATGCAACTCAAGAATTTGTGCCTGACATGACAAAGGTTGTGACTGACAAACATTAGATATACGTACATGAAATTTCAATTTTTCACCTTATGTGGTCTTTAACTCTGAATTTGATAAAGTTCGTGTTTACAAGTAGGTACAAGCCTAGCAAGTTTGATATCGACTTCACCCTTGGTGAAAACAGACTTTCAGAAACTAAATAAAACTGTACTGAATGGGTGAATCCCCTCTGTTTTACAAAAAACCCCAAGATCTTCTCTTGGCCATTTGCGCACCGTAGCTGTCTTTAAGGTGCGACTTTTATTAGAATTAGTAGGAGAAGAAATGTCATTTTGCTTCGAAGAGCCGAGACGACCTTGACCCTCACCCTTGAGATATCTCGCGGACTCTCCTGTGGAAGAATTATCCGCTGCAATGTCTATCAAGTTATCGGTAGTTGAAGATTTGTTTAGGGTACTGCGTGTATCATCCTCCAACTTTTTGAAGAAAGATGTTATTTTTGGCATAGTGCTAGCCTACAAATTTGGACTGGATTATGTTTCATATGTAAATACCAAGGCCGGGTAACTTGCGCGGGATTTATCGTCTGCTAGAAGCCGGGGATCTCGCTCTCGCGCGAAATTTTTAAGTCTTGAATAAGCTGACCTA